ATCGCTGCAGTCGCTCTGTCAAATCTGTCCAGGGGAGGGGAGGGGAGGGAGAGGGAGAGCGGAGAGGGAATGCCAGCAGAGTGGGACACGGGAGGATAAGCAGAGGGAAGAGAGAGGACTGTCACGCAACAAGCGCTGTCGGATGAAGGTGAAGGGCAAGATGTCCTAGATGAAGGACAAGGATATTTGTTCTTAGGTCATGGAATTTCCGATATATTTCTGTGGAAATACCATGCCGACTGGGAAGTAGGTCTGTGGAAAACTTATAAGCCTATTTATTTTAGTGAGTCTGTAATATATTATTATATTATATTATATTAGTTATAATATAATATAATATAATATTATTATAATTATATTATTATATTATACTATATTAGTGAGTCTGTGATTTTTTTTCCGATTCCGACATGCTGTAGACAAAAATGATGCATATGTGCCATCATCAGAGACATCAAGCTCCCAGCCATGTTGCAGATGTCATCGCTATAACTTCGCTCTTGCGACTAGCGCAGCGTCAATTGACGCAGGGCACACCAATTTATTAGGTGCAAAGGTGAACCCTTATAACGGTGCTTTGGAGACTGCCGAAACTATCGACCTGATACATTGAGAAAATAAATCGGCTTTTGTCATGTAAAATATTTTAGAATTTCATAAGTGAGGATATATTTATTCGCGATGGCATTAAAACAGCTTTCGACGAGGGATTGACCGTTGCGAGCAACTGAATGAGCAGTTAGGACATTTTTGTTTTATAATAACGACGTTGTTCAACTTAACCCTCGCACGACCAGGCCATTTCTCATAACACGAACGACCAGGGGGGGGGGGGTTGTTACGACCCCCCCCCTGGCGTTTCGAAACGGAAGGTCGTAGAGCTTAGCGGAAAAAACCAACGGATTGCTCTCAACGAGATCTCGCGATTGGTGGTATATTTTTTGGTCCTAGGTCAACATTTGACCTACTTATGACCGGTCAAAGGTCAAATTTTCCGGAAAAATCAAACTTTTTCAACTTTCCGCGGCGATTGCGGCAAAACGGTGGGAGATATCGACTTGAAACCTTCACTATCGTGTTCCTTGATCAATTCTCTATCGTTTGGTATGTATTTCGTTTCCCTAGCTCTAAAAATGGCGCGTTGGGAGCGCCGGAAGTCGGCAAGGTCACAGTCGGCGGCAGAAATTCGAAAAATCAAAATTTAAATTTTTGAAATCTGATTGTATTTTTGGATTTGGGAGGTCCATTTGCTCCCTATAGAAGCTAATATTGCTGCATATTCCCATTGAGGTGACAAGAATTAGCAAAATAGTGGTTCGGGCGCTTTTCAAAAATAGTACCGGACGCTGTTCCTCTTGTGACGTCATAGCTCCGTGACCTGACCTGACCCGGTCAATTTTCTTGCACCACACGATAGCCAATGCTTGCCCCAACATGCATGGGAAGTTTCATCATGATCCATCAAACAATGTGGGTATCACCGGCAGAAAACCTAGGGATTCGGCGCACACGTTTGGTAACTGTCGGCCGGAGGCTGTACCTCTTATGACGTCATAACTCCGTGACCTGACATGACCCGATCAATTTTTTTCGGCAAAAGATGCGCAAAGGTTGCCCCAGAGGGTATTGAAAATTTCAGCCCGCTACGACAAGCCGTTTAGCGTGCACTTCGAAAAAACCTCAGGGGGGGGGGGGGTTGATACAACCCCCCCCCCCCTAGGCGTTCTAGGGTTAACAGCTACCTAACAGTCCACCAAAATGGACTGCTAGATTAAACAGCTCCATTCGTTTTGCTATTTAGAGTTGCGATCGGTACGATGATATGCCTGCCTGTTCGAAGCTTTTAAGTTAAAGACATTAACCCTGAGTTAGGTGTAAATCTGTTGAGTCGTAAAATGGTAAGCCCATGCATCCATATACTGCCAAATATAGCCATTCATCCGTCTGTCGAGGGTGCCGTCTATTTTAGTCTGAGCCGAACACCGCTGTGTCTGCTCCGAGTCATGTCTGGTCGCCCATCATCCCGACGTCAAACAATGAAGACGCTGCAGGTTCCCATCCGAACTTGACCCAAATCTCCCCCGGCAGACTGCCTGCAGCGCACCACATGCAAACGGTTCGCCACCAGCTGGGTGCCGGTATACTGAAATAAATCACGACAATATGATCCATCCGGCCGGCGCGATTCTACAGCCGCCAGAGTGAGCAGAACGCCGGCACATAATGTGCCATTGTTTCTCCGGCGGCGCCCTTGACACAGGCAGACTTGTGTGGTGCGCGAGACATGTGTTATTTCTATTTCGTATCGCGGGGCATCCGTGTGGATCCTTTGAGCTGTCGCCGAGTGATGTCGGCACTGCTCAGCGCGCGCATATTGACGACTCTGTAACGGGTCGTAAAGTGAGGCGTTATGTGGTCGAGCAATAACATCTCAATGACAATCCGACGTCTATGCCCACGAACCGCCGCCTCCGTTAATGAATGCAGTGAATCAGTTACAGGACTGGCACGGGTGAATGCATAAGCCGTATTAGCAGAGACAAAAGCACTACACCAGACAATAAAAATAAGTGATGCAGTGTGTGTGATGATTGACTTTTAGGTCGTGCTTTGGTATTGGTAGGCATAAAATATATATTAATTAATTCGCGAGCAGGGAGGGACCAGGAAGAGCGCTAGTAACTACCAGTGCAGTGGCTTAAAGTGGAGACTGCAGGGCGACATAGAAGGGTAGCACCAGCGACTGCAAGACGACATAGAAAGGTAACACCGGCGACTGCAGGGCGACATAGAAAGGTAACACCAGCGACTGCAAGACAACATAGAAAGGTACCACCAGCGATTGCAGGGCGACATAGAAAGGTAACACCAGCGACTACAGGGCGACATAGAAAGGTAACACCAGCGACTGCAGGGCAACATAGAAAGGTAGCACCAGCGACTACAGGGCGACAAAAAGGTATCACCAGCGACTGCAAGACGACATAGAAAGGTATCACCAGCGACTGCAGGGCGACATAGAAAGGTAACACCAGCGACTACAGGGCGACATAGAAAGGTAACACCAGCGACTGCAGGGCGACATAGAAAGGTAGCACCAGCGACTACAGGGCGACATAGAAAGGTAACACCAGCGACTGCAGGGCGACATAGGAAGGTATCATCAGACTGCAGGGTGGCATATGTAGAAAGGTAACACCAACGACTGCAGGGTGACATAGAAAGGTATCACTAGCGAATGCTGTGCGACATAGGAAGATGTCACCAGCGACTGCAATGAGGCACACAAACACAACAGCGCGGCGATTACTGCAAGATGTCACAAGAGGGTACCACTAAGGACTGCGATACGACATATAAGGATATCACCGGCGACCACAGCTCAACGTGTATCTAAACACCTCTCTCTCTCTCTCTCTCTCTCTCTCTCTCTCTCTCTCTCTCTCTCTCTCTCTCTCTCTCTCTCTCTCTCTCTCTCTCTCTCTCTCTCTCTCTCTCTCTCTCTCTCTCTCTCTCTCTCTCTCTCTCTCTCTCTCTCTCTCTGTCTCTCTCTCTCTGTCTCTCTCTCTCTCTCTCTCTCTCTCTCTCTCTCTCTCTCTCTCTCTCTCTCTCTCTCTTTCTCTCTCTCTCTCTCTCTCTCTCTCTCTCTCTCTCTCTCTCTCTCTCTCTCTCTCGTTTGCCCGGATCTTCTTCACGCCGACTGGATTTGCTCCACTCTTTCATTCTCACATTCTCACAGGCCTGCCGTGGCTGGGAAGCCGGCGCGCTCACATCAGCACCCTGTACACCGGCGACTCCTGGCAATGCCAAGGACGGCGCGCCGCGCTTTCGAAGTCTAATGTCACCTCTGACGGCAGACAGACGACCGATAAGGTACAGGTGGCAGTTGCCATGGGAGGACCGGGATGAGAGCATGGGTCCGCAGCGACACACCCGTTATTGAAAATGTCGCCGCGATATGTACTGATACGCATGCATGAACATTGCCGACAAACTGGTAGGGATGAAAAGGTCGATTCACAACGGCAGGTGTTCCCAGCTTGATGAGGAAGATAGTTTTCAGTAAACGTCAGTTGCCGGGGTGATCAAGAGATGACTAATGCTAAACGGAGGTCCCGGCATCCCTATTGATGACAGGCGCTCAGAATATCGTCGAAAACAGTAACAAATGACAAGCGAGTCTTGCATGTGATGACAAAGGTTAGTTTGCTCAAAGGTCAGGTGATTTGAAGGGTCCAGTTATCAAAGGCGAAGCCTTCACTGCAGCATCGAACCCGGCATTCATACATACCGACTCCCAAGGAGGCAGTACCTACTCCACGACTATGCATGCACCTGCTGCCACATCTTGTGAGGTACTACACCAGTGCAGTCGACGTCCGATATCCAACATGAATCAAGGCCTCGTCTCGAGGTCCTGCAATAGGTCATTCACATATCCCACGTGTACCCGGCGGGCCCGACCCCAGCCGATTGTAGGGAGGGGAGGGGGAGGGTGAGACAGAGGTCAGTGGGCCGTGGAGGTCAGACCGCCCGTCCGATACACTGGTCAGACACTCAAACCGACCATTATCGCGCTCTTACGCTCCTCTCCGACCGGTAATTACCGGCTCCTGCCAGCCGCGCTGGCTGGGGGTCGCGCCGACCCACGCCGGCCGGGGGTCGCCGCCGCGCCGCGCTGGCTGGGGGTCGCCGCCGCGCCACGCCGGCCGGAGGTCGCCGCCGCGCCACGCCGGCAGCCCGGGGCAGGGCCGACAGATGGGGGCGGGGTGAGAGGGGAGGGGAGGGGAGCCGAGAGCCCGTCGGCACCACGTGATGCAACAGCGCGCCCGCGCAAAAACGTCGGCCCGCGCGCAATGTGCGTAAACCCCAATTCGAGGGGTCAGCCGTGTTTTTGTCGCGCATCTCGAGCCAAACAAACGGCGCCGCCTCGCATGGAACGTCGATCTCAGAGCCAGACAGCCTCGCAACGCGCGGACAGCACAAAATAAACCAGCAGGTGACTTCATTACTAGATTTTATTACAATGATCATGTTACGAGATGATAGCACTAGGGTAATGATCACCTTTTGTACTGATTACCCCGGTAAAAAAGGACGAAAACTTTATACAGCATGTACAGAATCGCACACACTCGGGGGCAGTCGACTCGTAACCACCTCTAACAAGTGGCCGCGCCGCGCCAGGCGCCGCGGCTCACGTCACCATCCGGCCAGCGGAATACGAACTTTGGTGGAATGTCACATGCTAAGATGCCCCAGCGTCGCACTGGCCGCAGAGCCGTCGGCCTCAGCTCTCAAAATTCGATCATAAATAGTAAAAAAGAAAACACGACGCCATTTGTACAATAAATCAACGTGAACAACATGATTATCAACTGTCCAATAAAATATCGGCAATGCGCTATGTACAACAAATGCGACCACGAACGCGCGCGCGGCGGACGGGCGGGCGGCAGCTCGGCCCGGCCCGGCGAGCACCGACAGCACACCGCCGGGCCGGGCGGCCCAGCCCGGTCCGCCAACCAACGGGAACAGCACAGCCATACGCCCACTAACAGCTACAAATATCACACCATGTATCACGATCCGCCGTCGGCGCTACAAAGTGTCGACGAACTCTGAGAGTTTGTCGGCGTTGTCGGCGCCGGCGGACGGGTGGCCGGGCAGCTGAAGTCCGCCGTGGCCGGGCGCCGACACGCCCGTCAGTTGCGAGAGCAGCATCTCGTTGGTGCCGAGCTCCGGGGTGGCCGACAGGCCGTGTCCGCCCATGGAGCCCGGGTGCGGCGAGTGCGAGGCCGGCCGGTGTGGCGAGGCCGCGTGGTAGCCGCCCAGCGTCTGACGCGGCGAGCTGAGCGGCTGCGGCGAGCGGACGGCGCCCAGCCCGCCCGGCGGCGGCGACACCACCTGCTGCAGCATCTGCTGCGGCGACGGCACCGCCATGCCGCCCAGCAGGCTCTGGTGCGGCGACACCGACTGCGGACTGGCCTTCATCTGCTGCTGCATCAGCAGCTGCTGCTGCTGCTGCTGCGAGTACGGCGGTCCGTACTGCGGACTGTCCGTCTGGAAACGCTGCTGTTGCTGCTGCTGCAAACCCATCGGATGTGGCGGCCGCGAGCGCTGCTGACCGTACGGAGGCGCCTGGTTCTGCTGGAAGCCCAGCTGCTGCTGCTGCTGCTGCTGCTGCTGGCGCTGCAGGGCCAGCTGCTGCTGGTGCTGCTGCATGGCCATGTACTGCTGCTGAGTCATGTGCTGCTGTCCCTGACTCACCACACCTGGCATACGAGCTTGCTGCTGCATTCCCGGCTGCATCATCTGCTGCTGCTGTTGCTGCTGCTGTTGTTGTTGCTGCCGCTGCTGCTGAAGTTGCTGCTGTTTCTGCTGCTGCAGCTTGAAGAGCTCAGCTCTGAGCTGCGGGTGCGACTTAAGTATTTGGAGGACGTCCTGCTGCGCCTGCGGCCCGGACGCCGGGTTCAGGCTCTGCAGCAGCTCCTGCAGACTGGGGGTGTTGGAGCGCGGCCCGACGCCGGCCGGCTGACCGGGCGGGCGCACCATCGGCCCGTCGGCGGCCACCGGACCCGGCTGGCGCAGCGGCGAGCCACCCCCGACAGAGGACTGAGGCGGCGCCGGCTGCTGGGGAGACACCGCCCCGGGCTTCCCAGAGAACCTGCGGAGCGACAGAGCGACAGTCAGCGCCGGCATCGCCGAACACAACAAACACGACAAGCGGATAAGCCGGATAAATAAATCGGATAAGAGTATAATAGACAGCCAGCTGATTTATATAAAACCTACATTAATTACATTTGGCACGATTCAACTGCATATCGCTTGATCGTGACTTAGAACGTGCAGGGGTTTGATAGCGGACCTGAGCTGAATCCCCTGCCCAAAACTCCAAAAAAAAAAAATTATTAGATATAGTATCGTGTCAATTACTTCACGAAGTCCCAACACTTGCTGGCCCCATCCCTTCCGACCGTGACCGCTTGTTTCCCCTCTATCACAGACCGGTTGTCCGTGACGGTGTCGCACGAACCCTGACCCGGGCAGTACCGGACTACCCCTCCCCTCCCATAAATGTCCCCTCCCCTCCGTTCGTTCGTCTGAGTAAGGACACATACGGCACGGCAGACCGGTACAGGTCTGAGCCATATGAACAGACTGCTTCTTTATCAACCTATTAGATAAACTAGCACGCAGGACGACGCGAATACTGGGATGAGCTGAAGCGCCAGCCACAAAACTACGACATGGGGCCATTGGGACGGCAGACAAATAGTGCTAGGGAGTCAGTGACGCCCCACGGCCGTTCTCCGTCGCCAGCAGCTCACCTGTTTCCCCAGTCGGCCGCGCCGGGCGGCTGCATCCTGGCGCCCTGCTGCTGCTGGGCCAGCTGCAGCGGCAGACGCTGTCTCATCTGCAGCTGCAGCTGCTGCTGCTGAGTCAGGCCGCCCGCCGGCGGGTTGTTCTTGCCGTAACTGACGGCCGTCTGCGGCGCGTGCTGGCGCGCCGCTGCCTCCTGCACCTGCGACACATCAGCCTACGGTCGCTTCAAATGACGGCAGTTCGCGCGCGCGCGCCCCGAGAGGCCGCCTCCGGAGACAAGCAGTAGCGGTAGCAGCGGTAACGGCATAATACAAGAGCGGAAGGACGTGTAATTATGGCGAGGCCGGTTAGCTAGTTTATCATGGCAAGCGGCAATGACGCAAGCAAGGCATGATGCAATTAACCCGCGAGGTGCTGGGGGGGGGGGGCGTTAAACGCCCCCACTTTTTTCGCCGGGCCATAGCATAAAAACGGCGCGCCGCAGGCGCGCCAAATTTTGGGTACCTGTAGGGAATTGATTGAAGTTTATTGTGACAAAGTTTCAAAAAAATCGGTCGGAAAATTTTTGAGATATCGAGGTTTTAGTGACGTCATGATTTCTGAGTTTTCGACCAAAAACGGCATATGTTCAAAAAATCATATAAAATCACAGAATAGACATACAGACATGCCGTAAACGCCATTAGACTGCCAATACCATGGACAATCAAATGGCCATCTTCGATTATTGATTATCGTCCCGCATTTTCCAAAATCTTGAACTGAATCTTGGCAATTTCTCGTGACTACTTCACGACCATGATACATGCATTTCTTAAATTGAGGTTTTTTGAGCCAAACACGTACACATATGATAAAATGAATGTGACCATCGTGTTCTACGCCCCAAATTACCCATAAAACATGTGTCACAGGCTGCGAATATCAGTTTTGATTTTCGGGGATATGTACCTACCCGGTTGACCTGACCTTGACCCTGACCTATGCTTGATTGACCCCTACATGGAGCTGACACTCTTGTAGGCCTTATATGATGGATTGTGCACCGTTTTAACAGAGTTTATGACGAGAGGCGCCCATTGCGAAGTCCCGAAATCCATGCTACTGAAAGCCCGATTTCAGGTGTTTGACCTGACCTTGACCCGACCTGTGACCTCAAAATTCAACTTTGAAGTGCTCATCTGAAGCGTCTCGTCGCGTTCTTTCGTTTGCCGCCTCGTGCGTTTCGCTGCGCCTATTGGTTCTCGAGTTATCGGCTGGGGGCGTTTAACGCCCCCCCCCCCCCCCCCAGCAAACGGTGGGTGGCGAAATACCCCAGCAACTGCCGGGTTAACAAATAACTGAGCAGAACTATTGACGAACATGATAATTACATAGCAAAAAATGAATTAAGTATGCAGCAGACATCACAAACAAAGACGCGCCCAAGCTGCGTGACTGCACTGAGCATTAAAGAACGTATGAAACACAAAGGCGGGGTTAAGCAGACGAAGAACAGCATTAAACAGGCGTAAGGCTGCCCTCTCCATTCCGGACATGAGCTCACGGGTCGGGGTGTCTCGGGCGCCCGGCGCCGTCCGCTTACCTGTTTGAGCGCCATCAGCACGTTGGCCGGCGGCCCCGGCTGGGCCGGCGACTGTTTGCCGACCATGCCGCCGTCCGGCACGCCGGGCCCGGCCGGCGAGGGAGCCGCAGCGCCCGCGCCGGCCGGCGACGGCTGCGCAGAGGCCGCCTGTACCGAGGCCGCCATGGAGCCGCCGTTGACGGAGCGCATCTGGGCGATCCGACGCTGCAGCAGCGCCTTCTGCTGCACCTGCGCCTGCATCTGCTGCTGCGCCAGCCGCGACTTGATGCTGCTGCAGAAGGGCACCATGCACTTGTCCTCCTTGCACTGTTTGGCGTGGTAGTAGCACAGCACCAGCAGCTGCTTGCACACGTGACACCCGCCGTTGCCCTTCTTGCGGCAGCTTTTCGTGTGCGTGACAATCTTGCGCATGCGCAGACAGCCCTGCAGGCCGCAGTTGGCGTTCCGGCACGTGCACGCGTGCTCCAGCGACTTGATGCAGCGCTCGAGCGACTGGCGGCGCACCTCGGGTGTGTTCTGACCGCGCTCCGGCGAGCCGCCGTCCAGGTCGAAGCCGAGCCTCTCCATTCGGTGCGGGTGCCGGTCCTTCTGGTAGCAGGAGACGCAGAGATCGTAGTCCTGTCGAGATGGAGCGAACTGTTAGAAGGCGGCAATAGGACACAACGGAAATCAAACGACAGCCCAACAGAAAATGAACTTGTTTAATGTGACAAGACCAGCAAATTTTCAACATCCTGTAAGTGGCCTCTAACCCTGACATTCTTGACATCTGTTATCCCCAGCTAGATATGGCGTCCACATACCTCGCATGTCGTGCAGTGGTAGCGTGTTTCGATGTTAGTCTTGCACTTGTTGCACGTGTAGACGACCGTCTCCTGGTTCTGGTTGTGCAGCTCATACAGCATGTGCTGCGTGGCGGCCAGCGCGCGGCGCATCGACGAGAACTCGAGGTGCTTCTCGCGCGCCATGCTCAGAAAGTTATCACGGCCGTCCATCAGCTCACAGGCGATGTGCGGGTCGGGGTCCTGGATCGGCTGCAGGCTGGCCGCCGACTGGGCAGAGTGCAGGCGCACCACGAAAAACACCTCTTTGTGCTTCTCCATCAGCGAGAACACCTTGGCCGTCAGGTCGCTGCAGCTCGAGCTGGACTTTTTCGACTTGCTCTTGCTGTTGGACTTGGACTTGGAGTTTTTCTTGTTCTGTTTCTTCATGGCGCCTTTCTTCTTGCCGTCGGGCGCGGGGCTCTGGGCCTCGGGCTCGGCGGCGGCGCGCGCCTCCTCCGCCTCCAGCTGTTTGCGCTTCTCCTCCTCCTCCTGGTCCAACTCGCGGATACTCTCCTCAAAGATCCCCGGCCAGAAGTCGCCCTCGAAGTAGGGCAGCTCGCACGGCGCCTGTACGCCGTCCTCAGCCGCCTGCTTCATGATATCCTTGTAGTCCATGACGATGCGGTCGTAGATGCCTTTGTCGAGCATTTTCTTGTACCACTCCTGCAGCCGCTTGGGCTTGGGGATCTTCTGGTCGGGCGGGTGGCAGTGAAAGATGTAGTCGTCGCCCTCGCACGGCGGGCACGCCCAGATGTGCGCCATTGTGTACCTGCCACGCGAAACCGCCGGTCAGAACTGCACAGGAGCTATGGGCAATGTATGTCTAAACTGGACTAAAGCACCATATGAAGAATACAAGAAATCAGTGATAAGAACGGGAAACGGTTCTTATAATGCCGACTCCAGTACCTATGCTTATGAAAAACATTTGTCGATCGCAAAGGACCGGCTTGGCAAGATACTTATGTTTAATTATCAATTAACTTATTCCAGACAGCGAAGTGCGTGCGGCTCGGCGTGGATGCTACCCACCCGAGCTGTTTGACGTAGTCCAAATACGCCAGTAGGATCTCGTGGTAGACGGCAGTGCGAAACTGGCGCGGCCGGAAAAAGTGCACCGAGTCCAGGTAGGCCACGTAGACCCGGCGCCGGTTCGGCTGCGGACTGTCCGACCCGTACTCCTGAACGTGCATCCCGAAAAAGCAGACGTCGTGGCCGTCCACTTCCTCGAAGGCGAAGAGCGCCTTCGCCCGATAGGGGAACTTGTACGGCATCTCGTCGTTATCACAGTATCTGGTGAACAGAGAGGACCCACAGACGGTCAAATGAGGGTCCTAAGATATCTGATAAAGCGACCCAATAAGAGGGAAAGGCAGCCCGTGAACAGAAAACACAAGCGAAGGACAAAAGGATTACCTGAATTATGCAACAATGCTCACAAATAACAGGCTTACAGCTGAACGACCCTCAAAACAGAAAAGATCGGAAACAAAACCAATGCTTGGCATTCGGAAGAGCAGCTTGTGATGTTCAAACAGACATGAATGGGCATATTAAGCTCAGCTCAGATGTACCATTTATCCATCGTCAACTCTTGACAATGCCCAAAAAATCACGAAAATATCTGCAATCAGACAAGCAAAAAAGGAAAATCATTTCTCAAAACCAATTACAAGACAAATCACCCGGCTACTCCTCCTGAACAGACAAAGCAATGAAATAATACAGTCTAAACGGATTCGCATCCACGTCCTGTATGCAGCCCCACCTTAGCCATTAACCGGACCCCAAGTGAATTTCTGCGGGAGCCCATCCTGTAGCGCGGCTCGAACTCACTTACCTAGCCTTCATGCCACTCTTGACCTCGCACACTTTGTCCCCGCTGGAGACGACCCGTATGAACACCTCGCCGGCGCCGGACTCCTTCTTCTTCAGGTAGCTGTTCACCCGATTCTCGATGTAGGAGCCCAGCTTGGTGGCCGGCAAACGCTTGGCGTTGAACTTATTCTCCCTCCGTTTTGCACCCTTCAGTTTCAAACAATTATCACAGGTAAACCTGAAAACGGAGATGTTTTGTTAGCTGGCACATACAATTTTCAAAACAATGAGTGCTTGTTATAGTGCTTCTTAGGGCATCCACTTCAGCTAATATCTATTCGTATGCGCGTAAATGACAACAAACAGAAAATCATAAAAAACGTCTGGTGGTACGACTAACGCAAAAAGGAAGCTCAACTGTCTTTAAGCGTTTGCCTCGGTTACACAGCATAGCTAGCCTAGCACGTACCCTTGCGGCCATATTGCGTCCATGTGCAGCACGCAGATCTGGTGCAGCCGGCGGCCGCAGTCGGCGCACTCCACCATTGCCTCCTTCTCAAAGTTGTCGTTCTTCATCTCCACAAACGCCTCCTTCTTGATCGACCTGCGTGGAGAGATTACATGTCACTTAGATGCGCGCTACACGGACATAACAGATCCAGGTACTCTCTGGTCAAGGTGCAGCACAGCCAATACAGCTCAGGCTACACGGACATAACAGATCCAGGTACTCTCTGGTCAAGGTGCAGCACAGTCAATACAGCTCAGGCTACACGGACATAACAGATCCAGGTACTCTCTGGTCAAGGTGCAGCACAGTCAATACAGCTCAGGCTACACGGACATAACAGATCCAGGTACTCTCTGGTCAAGGTGCAGCACAGCCAATACAGCTCAGTCCTACAACTCATTATAGGCTGCCACAAAAAGCGCGGGATCGTACTAAATTACAAAGAGGAAAGGAAATTTGTCCACGACGAGTAAAATCTACTGCACAACTGGTAATTACGGTAAACTAAAACAAAACGCGAGCAACTTTCAAACTCAAAAGCTTCAACTACCAAAGCTGCGCGGGTCCGCTAAAATAATCAGCCAAGCCAAGGCAAGAGCCAAGCCCCACACAGCTTGCAAACTTACATGGATTGCTGACTAGGATCCTCGCCAATGTTGACCGTGTCACCCTGGATCTCGTTGAAACATTTGACGCAGTAGGTGATGCGGTTCTGGTAGCTGAAGTACTTGGCATCGCGCGGGATACTGCAGAGCGAGTGGCCGAAGCAGCAAAGCACCTGCGGCTGGAAGGTGTACTTGCGGCCGCAGCAGTAGCCCATGCGCTGCATCACCGGGTCCATCTCCTGCTCAAAGATCTCCGAAAGCTGCGAAAGAACACGACGGGGTAAAAAGATTGTCATGATTCGTAAATAAGAGAGGTCAAAGAAAAACGGATAAACGCGTCCAGAAAAAGAGCAAGAACAACAAACTTGACCAGTGAAATTTCATACCAGCTACCAATTAAAGTCACAAAACCGAATTTTCAGTATTCATTGGAATCATGGGACAATATTCTTAGTTTGCACATAAAAAATCACTTGGCTACGAAGTTAAACGCCCCATGGCCATCCCCGACTCCTCGTACCTTAGTGCAGTACTTGTACACCTTCGACGTCTTCCTGTTGTAGATCCAGGCGTTGTCAAACATGAGCCAGACATCCTCGACGTACTCCCACGGGTCCTTGAACTGCCCTGTGTCCAGCTTCCGTTTAATGGTGGACAGGTCCATGGGGTTCTTGATGATGTCGTAGTAGTCGGGGATGCCGAGCGCTCCCGCGTCCACCGGCTGACGGAAGGGGATCGACTCGGGCTCCTGGCGGTACAGCTTCTCCAGCGTGGGCATCAGAGCCTGGCGCAGCTCGTCCGGAGAGAACACTGCCGGGTAGAGACAGACGGTCAGACTCGGCATCACAGCGGACGGGGCCGATGGAGGGAGCAAAACAAACAGAAATAACCCTTCGTAGATAAGCCCATTACTTCCTTTCACTTACTGGATGGCGGCTAAAACGTTGCAATGTTGCAGGACACGCGCCGTGCAATCCTGTCCACATCCATCTCGCCGAACCGTTTTTACAAAAATACCGCCAGCGACCCCGCCTCCCCAACACCCACCGCTCAAGCAGCGCCCCTACGGTGCTGTAGTTTGTACTCACGGGCCTTGGGCGGCTTGCGTCCCGGTTTGGGCGTGCCAGCGCCGGACGCCGACGGTGCGCTCTCGCCAGGAGTGGAGGCTGACTGGGAGTCGTGCCGGGGCGGCGGTCCCACCGAGCCGGGCTCCTCCTTCACAGACATCGGCTCGGCTGGCGGGACGAGGCGGAACTAGTCACAGTCACATAACAGGGAGAAGCCATACAGCGGAAGACCAGAAACGCTCAGCACGTCATCACGGGAGAGGACAAATAGCGTAAGACTCGCTGACGGGAGCGCGGCGGGATCGAACACGTCTGGCTATGATGCTATTGAAAAAGTACTGTTACTAGGCTCAACAATTGGCATCAGCACTCACCGGCCGTTTGTGGGATGTCTCCGCCGATTTGACGCCCGACTGCGGGAACACACCACTAGAACAGCACGGAGTCCCGCGGCCCTCTACCGATAACAGATGGCATTTTTTACGCTATCGCCCGCAGTCTAACCTCCGGAAAACAATCCCGATAGTTCCCCGTAACTGTAGGCCACCATTACAACTCTAAGATGCTAACGGTCCAATGATAAGCCACGAATCTCAGATAAATGGTCGTATCTCCCCGCTACTGAGCATGCTTCCGGAACCAGCCGGCCGCGGACACAATCGGGCGCATCCCACTCACATTTGACGGAGTTGGCCTGCCAGCTGGGTTTGTCGAGGCCGTCCTGGCTCGAGTCGCCCGGCTCCTGTTTCACAGACGACCCGGGAGGCTCTGACTGGCTGTCCATGATCTCCGCAGGAGGCTCGCACGGCTCGGCTTTGATCTGCAGCGACGTCGGCCGCGGGGTGAGCTGCTGCTGCTGCTGCTGCTGCTGCTGCTGCTGCTGCAGCTGCGACTGCGGCGTTAGCTGCTGGTCCTGCTGCAGTAGCTGCTGTTGTTGATGTAACGACTGCTGCTGCGGAGGCTGCAACTGCTGCTGCTGCTGCTGAAGAGATGCGTCCCGAAGGAGATTATCGAACGCAGAGTTCCCCTGGAAATGGACAAGAGAAACGGTGTCAACACGAGGGGCGCATCGACACAACTAGTTAAAAGACGAAAATGCGAACACGAATCTATGATCGACCATAGGACATAAAACAGCCCTACCCCAATGGCATGCTTTAGACAAAACTTATAAGCTCTTAGTGTCTGGCACCGTAGAGCGCCATCACCACTCACCTGTTCCATCTTGATGGACGCCGCGTTTCCCTGAGCGAGACTCGTCTGCGGGGGCATCATGGCGACTGAGGTCGGCTGCGGCGTGGAGCGCAGCTGTGAGAACGGGTCCACCAGGCCGCCGGCCACTGAGGCGGCCACACTGGCCTGGGGCAGCTGCGGCGGCGGGCCCACCGAGCCCGGTCCCGGCTGGCCCAGCTGCTGGCCGCCCGACACCTCCGGCAGGCCGTTGAACTGTTTTTGGATAAACACCGGCTGTCCGAGGCGGTTCTGGTCGAGCGCCTGGGGCGCCGAGCTGGCGATGGGCGGCTGGTGCGGCAGGCCGAGGGTCGACATCTGCGAGCTCAGGCTGGAGTTGGCCACGGACGCGGTGGGTGTACTGGAGCTGTAGGGCGGCAGGCCCAGCCCGCCGCCGGCGCCGGCGCTGGACATGACCGGCAGCCTGCCGGGGCCGCCCAGCAGCCCGCCCTGCTGCTGCAGCTGACTGGGCCGCTGCACCAGGCCGGCCAGCGACACGCTGCCGCCGCCCAGCCGCACAGCGCCCGGTGGCGGCGCGCCCTGCGGACCGGCGGCCGACACCGGACCCGGCGGCCGGACCCCCGCGGCGGCCGCGGCGGCGCCGGCCGCCTGGCGCCGCTGCCGCTTCTCGTCCAGATCCTTCTGGATCTTGTAGATCTTCTCGGCGAGCAGGTGGTAGTACTGGGAGCGAGAGACGGCCGTCTCGTACATGTTGGCCTCCACCTTTTTGGCGTACGTTACCAGACTCTGGAGCCGCTCGTCGTGGAAATCAGACGTCGGGTAGATGGCCTGAACTCTGTGAAACACAGAAAACAACGATCAGAAAATGTTCATAGTGGGCAAAGCATAGCGATGTCAAATTCAGGACAGGTCACCACCAAAACCTATAATAAACGATAAAAATGGGCCGGAGCGATAAATCAGTAATAACAAAGGAAGCCTAAGCACACGCAAATAGATCGAGTGATGCAGTTAGGTCGACCGCCGTCCGCTCCAGCTCACAGTTTTCGGACGAGGTGCGAGCGCAGGTCGGGTGTGACCTGCATGTGCCACTCCTTCGAGTCGTTCACCGGCAGAGGCAGCATGGGGTCGGGTGTCCTCGCGTTATACTGGCCGGTACCACCCATCGTCTGAAAACGATCAATGCCATCAGATACACATGAACAATCACATTCAGCTGCTGCAAGGAATCGTATATTGTAGAATGCATATATTCAATTGCTCATCAGGCCGAAATCTGAATTAAAGAATATTCAATGCTAGACTGGTCGAGACAGGGCACATTTTGCTGACATTTCTCACACGTTAATAGCACCTGCCGAACTTTATTGGAACATCTCACGGAAAAAGTATGTGTATAAAATTATAGTTGCTCCTTGTGATTACTGTGACCTGCAGGCAACGGTCATCTACTACATCGGTGCGGTACTCACGGCGTTAGCGTTCTCCTGGTGATTGTCACCACTCCAGTTGTTAGTCGCCCCGTCGCCACGGTTCATCAGGTACGGACTGCTGCCCCCGCCGGCTGCCGGACTGCCCTGCATGCCGGCCGGTACCCCCAGCTGCTGCTGGTCGGCCGGCAGACCGCCCGGCGAGGCAGCCGACAGCTGTCCCAGCAGCTGCTGCTGCTGCTGCGGCGTCAGCGGCCGCTTCAGCGGGTTGGCGGCCATCGGCGGTGCACCCACCTGGCCGGGCGGCACGGCGCCGGTCAGCTGCGGCGGCGGCGCCAGGCTCGCCGCCGGACTGTACTGGCTGACGGCCACCGGCGGCGGGCCCGGCGGCTGCGGGGACGCCTGCTGCGGCGGCACCGGGCCGGCCGGCGCGCCCGGCGGACGCGCCTTGCGGCTCTCGGCCACCTTCAGAGGCCGGCACACGGGGCAGTCGTTGCGGGGGCAGCTCTTCCAGTGCGAGATGATCTGTCGCGACGAGGCGCAGTGCGGCACCGTGCACGCCTTGCCCGCCTGGCACGACGTCATGTGGTTCAACACGTCCCTCATCGTCTGGCAGTGCGGCAGCGTGCACTGAAACCGCACAGACGGCAGGGTTAAACGTTAAAAACAGGGTCAGCATGCGTTGTCAAGCCGAGCGCCGACAAAATCGTTGTCAACATAATTGAACATCAACAAATCACAAAGTGATCCTAGATCCAACACCACAAGCCCGATATTAGGGAAAATAAATGCATATCTTAACACATTTGATGCTTCATTACACATACACAACAAACCTCGAGTTTGTTTGCTAGTCAAGTTTAACACCCGATATCAGAATGCAGCTCAACAGCACCTATTACAGCTGCGTCATCGGACTGATTCACTGATAGCATTACATTTATGTGCCGCCTCCTCCCCCAGTGTCGGACTCACCTCCTGCTGGTCGCCGCCGGCCTGCTCTCGGCGCTGGCACCTGTGTGCGTGCAGCAGCAGCACCAGCTGCTGCTGGATCAACTTGCGCTTCTCGGGGTCGCCGGTGGAGGGCGGCGCGCGGCCCCCGGGCGGTGCGGCCCCACCAGGCGGAGCGGCCGGCTGCGGCTGGCCGGGCAACGGTCCCGGCCCGGGCCCCGGGCCGGGGCCGGGGCCGGGACTGGGGAACCGCTGCGGCCCGGCCGCCGGCGCCGCGCCCCCGCCGTACGGCCCCGGCGGAGCGCCGTTGTTGACAGACGCGACCGGTGTCATGAGCCGCGACTGACCGGCGAAGTTGTACTGCTGCTGTTGCGGCGGTGGTGGCTGCTGGGACATTGACGGGTGCAGCTGCGGCTGGCCGCCCATCGGGCTCATCGAGCCCTGCTGAAAACGATATTACTATTACGGACGATCCACAGAGCGCTAGACGATAGACCTGCTGCTGCTGTACTCTACACTGCAGTACACACCAATGCAACGTAAGTCGGTAGCGGAAAACACTATAACAGTGTTGACTTAGCAACTAGCAAATGCATCACACCCCAATGTATCTATAACGGTCCAGGCACTCGCCAGCTCAACGCCAGGAATGCAGCGTTGATTTATAGCCCATCAGCTCAATAAGACAAACGAAAATCTCATATCGCGCCCAACAGTGTCATTATGCCACTGAAAATTCTCTAAGCTGTTGATAACCTCACACTTAAACCGATAATCACGAGTTATTATGCAGTCAAACCGATATCGCTCACAGCCAATATCGCTCTGCAAAAGCTGCACACGCGATAACAATCATCCCCCCCCCCCTCAGTGAGCTGGAGTTCTCACCTGCATAATTCCGCTGGTCTGTGGCAGCTGCATGTGCCTCTGCTGCTGCTGCTGCTGCTGCTGCTGCAGCTGCTGCCGGAGCTGCTGCTGCTGCTGTTGCTGGAGTGGCGCCTGGTTGCGCAGCTGACCGCCCAGCGAGGGCACGGTGCGGGTCAGCGCCGCGCCCGGCCCGTTGACAAACTGCTGCGCCATCGGCCGGCCGAGCCACTGTCCGCCGCCGGCCACGCCGAAACGGAGCGGCGCACCGCCGCCGCCGCCGCCGCCTACCGGGGCCGAGCTGAGCGAGCCGCTCAGCTGCGGGGAGCTGAACGCCGCGCTCGGCAGTGTGCCGCCCATCGACGACGCGGACACGCCCATCGACGAGACGGAGACGCCCATTGAAGACGGAGAAATGCCCATCGATGAGGCCGGCATACCCATAGAGACGTTAACGCCCATTGATGAAATAGGCGCGCTCATAGACGAAATAGGCGCTCCCATTGATGATACGGACAAACCCATTGATGAGACGGACATACCCATTGAAGAGGCGGGAATGCCCATTGATGAAATGGGTCCACCCATGGATGAGACAGACATCCCCATCGATGAAACAGGCATGTCCATCGACACAGGCACGCTGGTGCTCATTGACACACCTCCACCCATCGAGTGTGACATCGAGTTGGTGACGGACATGGCGGCGAGCGGCGAGCCGGAGAGCCGGCTCATGGAGCTGGTCATGGTGCCCAGCAGGCCGCCGTCCATGGAGACGTGCTGCGCCATGGACGACATGGGCCCGAGGCCGGGCGACTTGGAGACGACGGCACCGGGCGGCGACTGGAGGCCGGCCACGCCACCCAGCACCAGCTGCTGCTTGTTGGCCATCATCTGGTGGATGGCAGCCGAGTCGAGCGAGCCGTTGACGCCCGGCGAGCCACTGTACTGCGAGTAGGCCGGCGCCGGCGCGGGCGCCGACACCGGACCGCTGCTCTCCAGGCCGCCCATCAACTCGTCCGGCAGTGACAGTTCCAGGTCGAAAGACGACAGACCCATGTCTGCGACGAGAGGACGGGAGGCGCCGGGTTAGCGAACATCTGATGCACATTTACACGATAATACGGTCAAGGTGCAATTCATGAAGCTCAGCATTACCTGCAGTCACCATAACAATCCACAATATTATTTCGGTCCGGATATTCTGTTTACTTATGCTATATTAACCAATGACTACTGATATTTATCATGAAAAAAATCAAACAACATAGCTTATACTGAGCAGTACTTTAGTCTTCAGTCAGCAAAACCGTTCACATTTTTCATTTTTGTGACGCAACCATGGCTGTCTTTATCGGTATGGCTTTTGATCAGGAACATTAATTAAATTTTAGTACAAGGGTTTGCTAAGCTGAGATTGACGCTAACAAAGAAGTATGATTCATCCTCAGTCGAGTAACCGTCCCTCACTGTTGTATCAAGCCGACCAATATCAGCAAGAGCGTTTGATAACGGAAAGGTGCCGTAATTCGCGTCTCTTTGGAGCGTCAGGGCCCCGGGGGCAGCCATGACAGCCGCAGTACGAATGCGCTCATACCAGCGAGGGAGAGACTCGGGGAATAGGTACCCAACATAAAATGTATCGGCTACACATTAGCAGCGACATCTTTCGCTCATAATATGTTGTTTCTCGGGAGATCCAAAGAATCATTGTCATATTTGGGGCATTTCATACACTTGTTGCAATTTCTTCGGTCGAAGAGTTCTCCGGTTGCGGTTCTCCGGTCGGCCACACGTCTTAATTTCCCTGCGTCAGGATGGGAATCCGCCCACCGTATCTCTGGGTGGCAGGAGACGCCCATTTCAATGCACCAGCAATATCCCAGGGTCTGAGGCCAGTTTTACAAACAGAAAAATAGCCACCTGCCGGAAATTTTGCCTAAAGATCGCTTCACATACGGAACGTAAATGAATAATGATAAAGCTCTATCCGCTTGGCGCTTACGTACCCATCGCGTTTACGCTTCGTATGTGAAGCAGTCTTCAGGCAAAAAAAACTGCCAGGCGACTATTTTTCTGTTGGTAAAACTGGCCTCTGCAACACACATCTAATATATCACACATCACATCTATATATTCACCATTCACCGATAGACACATCCACTAATTGCAGTGCAGGAAGACCCCGATCCACTCACCATTTCCTCCTGGGTCGCCGAGACCACACCCGTACGACTCGCCGAATTTGGACCGCTTGCTCGGCGGTCCCTCGCCCAGGGGGTCGCTCATGGCGCCGGCTGAGCGGAGACGACTGGTGACGACGGTTACACACACGAGACGCGACTACTCGGCCGAGTTCCGCCAGCAACTGACATCGCAGCCGCGCCTGAAAACAAACCGCCACCAGTGTCAGTCACAGGGATCCAGGTCCTGTCTCAGCACATTTTGTGTTGTCTGGGTGTGAACCAGGGCTGTGGAGTCGGAGTCGGAGTCGGTCGGAGTCGGAGTTGGTCGGAGTCGACACTTCTGCCCGGAGTGGAGTCGGAGTCACCAAAATCTTAAAGACTCCGACTCTGGAGACGGAGCTATCGCTGCATGGCTTAACGCCATGTACTGCACCTGTTTGCTTGACAATACTACACTCGTTGACCTTACAAAATTATAAATTTGGTCAAAAAAGGCCATATTCCTGTTTCTAACGAGCGTTTTCAGCGAAAAAAGCAGAAGACGGCTGATTCGCCAGAACCTTCTTTTAATTCTGCATGTTCTTCACAAAGCATATGCGCAATGTCAGGCCTTGGGACACACAAAGGATCGTTTCAGGCAAAATAAGATCATTACACTATAAACTTTATAATCCTGATGTGGATCTTAAGAGAAGCGTCTGGAGTGAGGAGTCGGAGCTGGAGTCAGAGTCAGAGTCAATTTTTGAAGCCGGAGTTGGAGTCAGTCTGTCATCCAAAAATTCATTGACTCCACAGCCCTGGCTTAAAATGAAAGCCATTAACAATACATAGCCTTTTTGCACAGGTGGATAACACCGTCCCATGACACAAGTGAACAGGAAAGTCAAATTCCAGCTGATGAAGGTAATCAGTTTGCCAGGATCTAGATTATAATCAGAAGTCTTTGAAAGTTTGTTAGTTGTCACAACTCACAGAGAACACTTTTGCATGTGCAATCTAAAATTGTGCCCATTCATACTAGAAATTCCACTGCCTGAATGTCTGCTGAAGATCTTAGCTACTTACTTTGGTACTTAAAAAACATATTGCCCATGCATTATATGGGCATAAAATAGCATAGAATAGTGAAACATTTAACAACAACAAGAAATGGACAGGTTTCAGTGCAAAGTTTCAAAAAATGACACAAGCCTGTTCTAGCACCTCAAGACAAAATTATTTATTGGTGGCTATTCTAGCCAGCTCTACTGGAAACACTGGAACAATCTGGGGATCTCTAGTGAATGGTTATTGATGTCTGGGACACATGAATAGTGACTGGTAAAGCTGAAGCTGATATCCACAGAAATTTTCAAAGATATTTCCCAATTTATGTTTCCATGTTCTGAATCTAAAAAAGCTATTAGTGCAAATAGTGCAGCAAGTAGGTACTACAGTGCAGTGAGGTCACCTGATCTAGCCCCACACCTACCTAACACCTATCTATCCCTTACAGAAGGCTAGGCTGAGTTAGGTCAGATTGGTTTGGGTTGAACAATTCAAACCATCCCTTCAATGGATTATCATGATATATGCTGCATTAATAAGCATCATTCTTACATTCAGGACAATGCAAGACATGGAGAGGAACAAAATGTATCATTCCCAAAACATGCGGATTCCTGCTTCAGTAATAGTATTACTGAAAGAGATCCTATGTCACAAGAGGTCACACACAGAGGTCCAGCAACATTGATACTTGCTCTTCCAAAATCAAAGTACATTTTCAATGAGGGATTACTTTCAAAAAGTACTAGTTTGCAGGAAAATTTAACAAAAATTTAGTGCAGCATTTATTAACAATAAAAAAATGAATAAGGTACTCAATAGAAATACCACATATTCTCAGGTCTGAGCAAAATATTCCCCAAATTTTCTAAATGTTCTTTTTACATCTAAAAGTATAAAATCACATGATATGTCTTTTTGTTTACATTTGTTACCATTACATATGCACAATAAGAGCAAACCACACCCTCCAGTCAAATGTGGACTCCACAAATGACTGGGGGCTGCTGGTGGCTTCCTATGACCAGTCAAGAGCTTGCTCACACTTTCTGGGGTGCTGGAATGCTGAGTGGAGAACTGTGGAGCTCACTTGAATTCCCAATGCTTTCTGGTGGTGGTTGCTTTGGGTTTAGTGCTTTTGGTTGTGCTGTAACAAATCCAAAACTATCAAGTTTTTGTGGTTGATATTTAAGTGTTCGAAGAGTACCTAGACTATCCAGCTTGGTAATCATATAGCAGGCATCTCACGTGCTGCCATCAGTTTGTGAAAACTTTCTAAACTCCAGATCTTGAGATATTTTCACAAATTTTGCTGTAGGTTGTGCATTGGTAGGTTGTAGGTTGTAGGTGTTTGTTTTGTCTAGGCTGTAGTTTTTAGGTTTGTAGGTTGTAGCTTAGTAGCTAAGGTTAAGCCAGGTTAGATTATATTTCATTTTATAAGATTTTTAATTATATACTTTTTAAGTGAAATTTGTATAACTACCTAAAAACTGAAGAGTCTAGCAACTTTACACAAATGGGTGGCAGCATGAGAGATGCCTGCAACATGAATACCTCCAGCTTTTGGGAACAGCATTTAAGTTGAAAGTAATAGCACAACACCACCAAAAATTAAAGCTGCTGCAATTCAGATAAAAAAATGGTGAGTCCATTGTAGCAGGTACCAATCCAAATTTTGATGCAACAACAAGACAAAATCAATGTCAGTGTCATAATCTGAATCATGCCAGTAAAGCCATGGTGATGGTCATGGTAAATGCAAAGATGCATAAAATCACATTACACCCATTCTTAACCAATGCCTACATCAATGAGAAAATTTAGGATAAAGCTCACCTACAAAAAATTAAACCCCCGTCAATCGTCAAACGATAGCATCATATTCATATCATGTGGCACGCAGTTGTTGACAAACGCGTGACGCGTTTTTAGGGCAGCGAAACCAGGTCACCTCGCAGCGTCCGGCTTTCACTCACTTGTTGAAAAGTGTGGCCAAACTGGAGCACTCTGAAAGATAATGCTTCCAATTCTATCCCCGAAATCCACTTGCTCTCTCGTCCAAGACCACGATTTCACCAAATAAATATATACAACTGGCATCAGCCAGATCTACTCAAAATGGCGACCCTCTTGGTCTAAAAGTGATGGGAAACTACCGTCGTCGCCGATGACATGCAACTCATATAGGTACTCGTTGTGAAATAAGTGGAATAGATTGTTCGAGATCGATCTCTGGTTTATGTCAGTTTGCATATAGTTTATCATACAAATAGGTTTGTTTTTTGATTTCATAAAATATATTATCAAATATGAGATTTTACGGGGTTTGATGAAGAAAATACAAGGAAAGGCACTTCATGGCAAATACATCATGTTTTGCCCACCTCTATACTACCCCATATGAGTGCTGAATTCTCATTGGTGCAGAATGGTCACGTGGGTAGTAACTCTTAGAACCCGAACGAAATTGCAAACAAGGGAAATGTCTGGTCTAGACCATACTACAGAATTCCGTCTAGACATACCATGCCGCAGCCACACGTCTTATCAACAGTAAAGAAGCAACAGTTACGCAAATTGCCCCACACGGTTGTGTTTGGGTGTTTGGGGGACCAGGTGCACCTGCAGATAAATAAAAGTGTGCTGTGTGCACGGCGCACGCTTCATTGGCAAGTCAGGTATCGTCTTATTTTGCCTACTTATGAAAAGATATGGAAAGTATAAAAATAGCTACACTTATTTTAGAGAAATGCCATTACTTATAAGCAAAGCACGCATGATGCGACGTTGTCCGCCAAGTGCCAATCCGTGCTTGCTAGCTCATTCGTTGTTTCCGAAGTTCACTCACCAAGGCCAAGCAGGCTCCGTCTGGCCGGCAAAAGACGGGACGGGGGACATACGTTTTTCACAGTCTCTTACATTCCAGCAGGCTGCCGGAGTGGGCGAGGGTCAGCAGGCTGCCGTATGCGTGTCAGATGCAGACAGACCAGGCAACTGTGGGGAAAACGACCCTCAGCTACTAAAAAGATCGTCCATAGAGGGTATCTAGCCCCTAAAGGAAGACCAAAAATTAACATAGGTCTTGGAACATCTAACTTCGCACTATTTGCCCTCGCCGATTAAAATGCTTTAAAACCAATTAAAAGGTACCGGGTGGCGGGTACACCCTGACATATCATTTTCTACAGGGGCCGTCGTGATTAACACTGTCGAAGGTCTCATTCAAGTAAATCGTAAATTTAATGTGAGCTCACCGCCGTCAATCCTATCAACGACTACGGCAGTACGCGTATTGACAGGCGATCCGCTCCGTTAATGTTTATGACTGAGATGCTGGCTCAGCTTGGGAACAGCCATGCACCAACTGAAAGCAGATAACACTATTGAAGCATCAACAGATGGTTGATAACCTAAATATATTTCAATCAAATAATTCATGCGTAATCCAAACATAATTGCACATAATAATGGCATCGGTTGAGGGAAACAAACAATTCCAGATAATAAACATAATGGCATACGCAAACACAATATACATCCCATCGACCTTTCCCAATTTAGTTACGTTCGAACTTTTTCGATGATTTTGGTAAAAAAAATCGTTCTTAGCTATAGTACAATCTCTATCGTCCCATAAACCCGGGTCTTACTTGTCACTGTATCCCGATACACAACCCACAACACATGGATTTCATCATGCTGAGAACGAACGCCGAACAGCTCTCATTCCGTTGGCGACTCGAGTCCAACTCAGCAAAGCGTAGCAGTAAATTTGTAGCACAGTATAACCTCAGCTTATTTGTTCCCCTCTGCCCACTTGTCTACCGACGCAGCATATCTCTGTTTATCACTTCTCCTAAACTCTGATCGAGCCCGTGTATAAACATTCTAACATCTCCCAACAATCACAACCAGGGCATCACGTACCGATGACAGTGCCATCTACATCGCCTTTTCCTCCTTCCCTTCCACGACCACCTCTGAGAACTTCTTCACCCAGGTGGCCACATGTTTGGCGCACCCTCCGACGGCGTCCTCTCGCAGCACGAACGCGTGCGGGTAGCCGTTCTCACATATGACCGTGTCCAGCTCGGGCACTGCCTGTTTCATCACCTCCACATTCTCCAGCGGCACCCACGGGTCCGAGCGCGAGAAGTAGAAGCGCGCGCGCGGCGCAGCACCGCGCAGCAGCTCCTCATCCAGCTGGTCGACTTTAATGAGCTCGTCGTGCGCCATGGCCATGGCGCGCGCCACCGAGGCGGGCCGCAGCAGCTCCACGGAGGCCTCCAGGGCGTGCGCCGGCGTGTCGCCCGGCAGCCAGAGGCGCACGGCGGCAGCGCGCACCCGTCGCGGCAGCCAGGCCAGCAGGGCGGCCACGGCCATCACCAGCGAGCCCAGGTAGCGCGACAGCAGCCAGACGCGGCGGCCGGCCGGAGACACGCGCATCCGCTGCACCGTGGGGAACAGGTGGTACGAGGAGGCGACGCGGCGCGGCGGCAGCCGGCGCTCCGTCTGCAGCGAGATCTGACTGCCGATCGAGTGGCCCACCAGGTGCAGGCGCGTCTCGGCCGGCAGGTGCGACCGGATAAACTCCACCTTGCGCTCCGTCTGACCCTCCAGATCGTACAGCGAAGGGTGGTCTGCCGAACACACGGGTGACCGTCAGATATATGGTGCACGCGAAAATATACACACAGCATGAAAGGCGGTACACATGGGATCGAGTTGAAGGAGACACAGGCTTATCCAACACACGAAACAATCGCGGCACCGCAACGGCGCAGGTTATTTCTCCTTCGTTCATTTACTTGGAAATGGAATCCAAAGTAAGCTCCAAAGTATCAACCACAGTACACAGTGTACGGTTGTCCACCGTTAAATTATCACAAAGCTCACCGTTGAGGTCGGGGAGGCAGCTGTCGTTCTCGGGCAGGCTGTGTCCGCCATGGCTGATGCCCCAGACGGGAATTTTCCCACCGAGCTCCTCAAACAATGTTGACATGAACTGGTCGTAGTACTCGATCAGACCCGGATTACCTGTAGAAAAAAAAAATCAGTCATCTGTCAGATGCGATCAGTCAATGGTCATAATGGATCCTTCGATCTTCCCAACCCTGAGTGCGAGATGGGTGTGTCCTCATCTATCGAATTGGTACTGAGATAGATGAGTCAAACGAGGTATGAGCGTCCGTCAGGTCAAATATGTTCGGATAAAAAAGAAAACATTCCGAAGCAGACTCACAAATTTTCGTACTAAAAACTCAACTTCAATTCCTCAGCTCTGTCGGATAAAGCATTACGGATAATTCCAATCGTACAGTTGGTACAATCATTTGGTTCATGCAGGCTTCAGCATATATGAGGTGCAAGATCCATGTGGTTCATAGGCGTCGCCAGAGATTGTCGGTTGGGGGGGGCAAAATCAACTTTTGTGTCAAAACTTGCCTTTCCCCAGTCTTTACTCACTCGTTTTACATATCATTCGACGCGCAATGGTGCGAGGAATCCGATGGTGACAAAGGTTTCCTTCTAGCTATGACATGTAATTTTTTACAGAAAAATTCGAAATTTTGAAATTTCATAACAAAACGACTGGTAGAATTATAGTGGCTGCGATTGCCGACGCACTGCAGAGGGCCCCTGTGCAGACGCTCGACGCTCACGATCATTACCCATTAAGAGGTGAAAAACGCTCCATTTAATCGGATCACCCTGCTAGAACCTCCATTCACGCATGCATGCAGAGGTTTTACGTGAAATGCATAGGACTTATCCCAGCCGCCGATCGTAGCTAAGTTGGGCATTCGGCGGAGAGTGAATGTCGGAAGTGTGAATCGGAATTCGGAAGTAATTCATCTTTGCTTCAGTGAGATGAAGTGTTTTGTTCACTCGAGTGTAAACAAAAGTTTCTCGTTTTTCGTGTGAAGGGAAGCGCTGCAAACGCGAACAAAAACTGTTAAACGGAACCAAAAGTAACGCACGGCATAGCGGCAAGGGATCCCGTAGAGATAGGTTTGTGACTTCCAGGCCATTTCAGGCCACTCAGGGTCAGTGCTGACTCTCGGAAGCCTGCTTACTGCTTAGGATCCCGGAGATCGACGTGGGTCACCTCAAATATTTACGTGTACGTGGTGCTTTAGGGCTTTCCGAGCCCAAGGTGGGGCCCTCAGAAGCAGTGTGGGCGGCGGGCGCTAAGAGACTAGGCCCAGGGTGAGCCTGGAGCCCTCGGATAGCAGTGTGAACCCTCGGGGTCTGTGTCGAATCCCTAAGGACCCTACGTAGGGACATAATAAACATGTGTTGCGGACCTCAGAGGGACACGTGGGCTGTGACCCCTCAGATGCCGGCTTGGGGTTGGCAAAGTCTGTCGCCTCAAAAATTTGGCTGAACTATCAGAGGCCAGTTAAGGTTCTCAGAAATGTTCGAAGGCTCAAAGATCCCTGTATGGGCCCTCAGAGAACATGAACACCAGTGGGACTTTCAGAGGCCGGTTTGGGCCCTCTGAAAGCTTCTTTAGGGCTCACTGGAGCTCCTTAGGAGCCTTTGTTTAAAGCAAGCTCATGAGCCCTGCGACACTTGTACGGTAGGTACTTGAGCCTGTCGCAGACATTTGACGAGTTGAGAAAGGCCCCGAAGATTTCGTTTCACGCTTTGAACAAAAATTGTGTCAGCACTCCAAAACTTATGAAAATCAGCTGTAAAATGTAATAAAGAACGAACTAGGAACATGTAATGAATCACAGCATTAACATTTCCGAGTCTGGACTCGGAGTCTTGAAGATTTTGGCGACTGCGAGTCAGACTCTGGTTTGAACTGCACGCTCAAACCGAGTCTGACCTCACAGGCATTCTCAGAAAGGTACCCCCATTTTTTCCCGACTCCAAAATCTCATCGGATCTGTATCGATGTCAGGGGGTGCCCGGTCAGAGGTTGGGGGGGGGGGGCAAGTTGCCCCGCTTGCCCCCCCCCCGTGGCGACGCTAATGATGTGGTTAACACTGTCCTGACATGGACACCATTGCATGGACACCATTGTGCATTGCATAACCGGCAATACACATACATTGTTCTGCAAAAGGATAGCAAAAACATTGTCACCCACGGCCGCATGTAAAACGATAACTGTGTGGAGGACAAGTATGATCCTTGCCCCGCCCAGTGCCCACTCATTAGGCCGATGATAAAAGCGCAAGATATACATACACGTAGGCATATTGATTTTGAGAGAGAATACACTAATGTCAACTCGTTTTTATAAATCTTTTTAGGTAACTACTGAGGCCTTGAGCAGCACGCTAATACGAACAACGTATTTCCGGAAGACATAAAAATACCCATTGTTATAAACATAATCACGCGTTAGCGACCACCCGAGCGACGTATGACGGCACCAGAAAACTACATCCGGTCACCGGGTCCAGCAGAGATCGTATGTGTCAACTAGCAGCACAGTGGAATTAAAGTAATCTTGAGCGGAATCAGCGGAGCGATGAGAGGGCCGGTACGCAGAACCGGACCAGACCGACGGCCGGCCTGGGCCGGGATTAGTGCAGATGGGCACTCGGGCCGGAAACTGCAGTTCTGACCAATTTAGCGGCGACAGGAACAAAGATAACGTTCCGTCCTTTCACGCTGGTCGGCTGATTGAAATCCGATCCCTGTAAGCTGACTCTCGCATCGTGCCGCGAGGAGACCAACGCAATAAACTAATCATCTCTCGAGAAAAGACAGCACTACCGCAAGAGAGCATACCTCCGCCTGCCCAAAGAAAGACACACGACACTCGAGAATCTGCTCCTCATTTCCTCGGTATAACATGATGTGTGCGAGGAGCCCTGGAATCGCACCCAGCTAATTTGCACAGATGCTCCATAGTCCCAGCCCAGAACACAGAACCAGTTTTGAGTCCTAAGCTGACAAAACCTCTGTTGTAATAAAACCAGATTACAACTAGAAAGTGACAGACTGATTGTCCTGATAGGAGAGTTCTAATAACCTGAGCATTAGCAGTAAGTCTGAGCTTTGGAAAACTGCAATAAGAAAAACTGCAATTAACTGCAATAGGTACTACAGTACACTACCTAAAAAGGTGCCAAATTGCAATTATTCTCTGAGGCCTCTGAATGAGTCTTGTATTTAAATGTTGCTTTTGAGATAATTTAAATACCTACTAAATCCTTGATCTAATGGAGCTCCATAGCACAGCAACACAGAAAAGTACCTACCTATCTACTTAATGACATCAAGTATCAGAGGACATAAGAGCACAACAAAATACAACAGCTTGACTTCAAATTTACCATGTAAAACTTCCAGCATTGGTTCATATCTGCTCAGAGGAGTCTGCTCTAAATTGAATATTGATAAGCCAATATTTGCTGACTAACCTTCATATGCATCATCCAATGCTTCTGGACCACCATATAATGTCTTGCAGAAGCAGGGTCGCCACACCTGGTTGGGTTCCCAGTGTCAAGAAAGCAAGGCAGAAAGGAACTGAATATGAGAAACAGGAACCCTGAATCCTATAGAATATAGATGCACCAGCCAAGGTTTTTAGCACTGAATCGGCCGGCTGATGGTTCCTGAGTTGTCAAACGCGGCATGCCAAATAGTGATTTGTAGTAGCAAAAACTGCTGAAAAAGAGTGATGGAGCAGGGAGAATGGAGCATAGCAGAGAATATCCTTGTTTAGTGTCCAAATCCTTACGATTATGTAGAAATGTCATGTAGATTTCCTGTTTGTCATAAGCTTCTATTCCATACTTGTAAAAATGGCTTTTAATATTTAAATCAAATTCGAATCCATGTAAATCTCTTAAAAATTGATTTAAATTTCAAATTGAAATACTGAAATCTGAAAAAGGCTTTACGCACTAAGTCATTTTCCATAGGATTACCTTGCAGCTGTTCGACAATTTGTGCCAGACACATTATGATTAATAATAATCCCTGCTCAAAACCTGATATGCATACCTCCTAAATATGTATGTATGTATGTATGTATGTATTGATCTAAAATCCATCCACATAACATGGTTTTTTCAGGATTCAGCGTCATGCACAATACAGTAAAATGCAAGAAGGCAATAGGCACTGGCAGATAAAATAAGACAACTAATTGCACTAAAACCGGAATAAAACACAGCACCCCAAGACCTCAGGCTTCGCTGGCCGCCACTGCGCGGCGAAACGCGGTCAGCGTGGGCTGCTCCCTGACGGCCGACGGCAGCCGGTTCCACGCGGCAGCAGCGCGGTAACTAAACGTTCTCTGTGTGGAAGAGAGCCTACACTTCTGCAGCTCAGTCGGTGACACACCAGGGAAATAAGCTAAAATTAGAGTGCTCTATTTATTGCTCCCGCTACTTCACCGTCTCCCATAGGGTCCTGTGTTGAGCTGGTGTCGAGGCTCTAAAAATGACGCCGATTTTTGCACCCTTCTCACGAAAATCGCTCGGACCGCCTGGAAACCAATTGTTCCGCTCTAAAAATTTCATGATCGACGGGAAAATGAATGAGGAAAAGATTGGTCCTGAAATAATTCTGAACTCCCTGTAGAACATATCGAAATATGGCTGCAAACTAGGAGCATGTCAAAATCGACAAAACAATACAAATAAACTTACCGGGATTTTTTTATTTTCCATGCATCTGTGTATGAAATGAGTCGGTTTTTCGGAAAGATCATCTTCTGTTTAATTAATAATTCCACAATTGCAATCGAGAAAAAAAAAACATTTCCGCTGTGACAGCAGTTTTGGCATTGTGCCAGTAGTGTGGCGTTCGCGGTGCTGCGTGGTCGTCGGGACGGAGTTGTGAGTATTTTCGGTGTTTTAAATGGTTGATGGCCATTTGAACCAGCTTCATATTATTTCCTACACATTTTTGCATCAAATTATTGCTTTGAAAGACCATTGAAACCCCTTATCTCTTCATGAAACACGATCATATTCATCGTCGACGAAAATGGCGCGGGACTCCATGTGCATTCCGATCGAAATAAATCGTAAATTAAATAATATTCGATGATAAGTATCATATTCTAGTGACACATTTTCATAAAATAAGGCATAAACTTTGCAAGGAAGTCAACATTGGATAATTGGATTCTTATTTTGCTCACATATCCTTGTAGTAGTCAAATGGCTCAATTGTTAGATAGATGTAAGTATATGTTTTGGCTTGATGTTTGCTGTGAAACCACCCAGCCACTTGCAGGTTGAGTGATTTTCTGATAATTACCTGATAATCATTTCTCCTTTTCCTTAAAAGAAACTAAAATTCCTTTCAAAGTAATCCATTTTAAGGAATGGCGGCTTGCTCATTGGCATTTCATGTTCTTGTTTTGTTATTGCTGGCAGTATTTTGATACAATAATGCAATATGAATTTTTTGCAATAATAAAACCTAAGACAAACTCAGTTAATGCGTCAATCAAACACCCAACAGAAAGATTGTGAGTCCTTGTAATGTGAAGCATAATATTCTATGAATGTGTTATATAGAATATGCCAAATATTAAATTAATTATTATTTGATACTGATAGCTGAGCAGGTGAATTATGCCACAATATAATTTCATTTTCTGGTTTTGAAATAGCCGGCAGTATTTTACTTCAACAAATGTAATATACATGGAATACATGTTGTTATGTTACCTATGTTAAAAGTTTAATAACAGCCAACAGAAGGAGCTGTTTCAGCAGATAATGTTTGTACCTTATGCATTACCTTTCTTTTCTGCAGGGCCATGCTTCCGCTGGGTGGTCGACATTTGCCTCCTGAAGAAGTTGAGCAACATGAAGACCACCAGATGAGGTGTCTGCAGTTCATGTGGAACTCTGCAGACTACAAGTGTTATGCCAACCACAACCAAAGTGCTGTGATCATGGAGGCATGAACCTCATGACAACACTTCAGATTTGCAGTTGAACCAAAGTGTGATTCAAACCACCTGTGGCATCTCACTCAATGTGTGAACAGTGTGATTATTGTGCAGTGTTCAGCTGCAACTAAGACATTTTTTAGTGACTTGTTTGCAATTAGCCACCAAAAGCATTTTTGGGCTGGCTGCTGTAATTTGTTGTGCACACTGCACTGCACAATAGTGGTAGTGTTTTGTCACTTGTCAAGTTGTCAGTTGTGCATGTTGCATGTTTCTCTTCCCTCGGCCCTCATTATCAGTTAAGTGGTGAATTGGCATCACTCAGTCTCCCCAGATCTCCATTAGGCATTAACTGTCTGTCAACCACCTAACTTGAGATGGTATTTGCTAATAGTGTCAGAAAAGAAGTGATTGTAGACATTTTTAGGAATATGAGCTCCGTTTCATGCGTGTTCCAGTGGTCATTTTGTCACATGTCCCATAGTGTAATAAATGGAAACTGTTGTTCCCTTTTGAAGGTACTCGCGGATGCAGAAAGCGTTGGGCCTAATTATTAAACGCACCCTCCTATCAGCGACGCACGAAATCGACAAATATCATCCTTTTTAGAACAGGAGGAAACGAAAACTTGTGAACATAGCTGTACCTACAACAGTGCATAAGGAATTGAAATTCTGGGAGTTTTTGAAATTCGGAGAAACTCAAGTTGTCGACAGGTATGCCCCCGCCCCCCTTGCACGTCAAAGACCGCCTAAAAAACAAACGCCTACAAATGAAGGCATTATTCGTATGTTCGTTGTAATTGCAGCAGCCTGGCAACATGTATTGCGGTCCGATGGCGAATTACACTCGTGCTCAAAAACTGCCGGTAACTGCCAATGCACTTAGGTCATAGGTGAGGAGAGGAAGGGTTATGTCATATATCAACATCATAGAAATGGCTTCATCTGAGCTGTGCCTATTGTACATAATTCAACCAATATGTGCATTTCGTTTCTTGCAATCTACTCATGCTTTCACTCCAGCTTCAGAGTAATCATCCCATATGGTACGTCTTAAGATATTGATTTCTATGGCGGTTTGCAATTACTAGCCACGTCTCACCTCAGTTTGGTGGCCCCGCATCGGCCCACTCGGCCGCTCTAAAATTGACTTACGGAGGAGGATGGTGGCTTTTATTTTAGCTTCTCCGCCGACTGCGGGGAGCGCCGTCGCCGAGGTAGGAGCAATAATTAGCTTATGTTTGGGACTTATTTCCACGCTTAATTAACATTTTAATGTTATTTTAATTAATTCATGTTAATCTTTGACGCATTCTCTTTCTATTGATACCATCCACCGGTCTGAGAATTACTGCCTTGCTGCGTAAGGGCCGATAAAAGATCACGCTTTTAGGGGTATCTCTTCAACATGGGGCAGGAGCAATAAATAGAGCGCTCTAATTTTAGCTTATTTCCCTGGTTTATTTATTTAATTTAATTTAAATATCCATTTGAGTAGGATTTCGGGTTTTTTGAAACGCTCAGTTTTTGCAGCGAGCTTTTCCTGTTAGGGCTTGCGAGATACCCGCGGAAACACATATCTCTTCAGCATTGCGCGCCACACAGGAATGCGGCTGATTCACGTGCTTTTGTGAGCGAGGTGCTTCCCTCCGGAAGAAATTCGCCGTCCCCATATGCTTAACACAGAGCCGAGCGGCGGCTGACAGGTGGCCGGCTCTCGGGAGATCGGCAGCCGACACTCGAAAAATCGACAAGCCGCCGCTGAATGCGCGTGCGGCAGTGCTGAGCCGAGTCATTCCCACGGTCTGAAGTACCCCAGTTTGAAGATTCGGCTGTAGAATATGTAGTTTTAAATACGTAGTTTGACGTACATCTCGGAAAAGTGAGATACGGCCAGAAATGAGTGTGGGTCCCTCCGTTCTGAAGATTCTGATCGACGCCGATTGAAATAATTCGCCGTGCATATCTCGGCTTATTGACGACCGATTGACACGGGATAAACACCGATCGATACCATATGGCTCTGTGGGGGGGGGGAGTAGAGTGGCAAGTTTTCCTACCCGACGAACCCGGAATTATCCCGAGGGGGTAGGTGTGGGAGTAGAGTCGGGGGAACGGGGGGGGGCGAGTGCAAGTACCAAGTACTTTCGCAAGTACCAAGCAAGTAACAAGTACCTTTACAAGTACCAAGCAAGTACCAAGTACTTTACGGCCAGGAATGAGTGTGGGTACCTCCGTCCTGAAGATTCTGATCGGCGCCGATTGAAAAGTCGCCGTACATATCTCGGCTTATTGACGACCGATTGACACGGGACAAACACCGATCGATACCAAATGGCTCTGGGGGGGGGGGGGGATAGAGTGGCAAGTTTTCCTACCCGACGAACCCGGAATTATCCCGAGGGGGTAGGGGTGGGAGTAGAGTCGGGGGAACGGGGGGGCGAGTACAAGTACCAAGCAAGTACCAAGTACCAAGCAAGTACCAAGTACTTATGCAAATACCAAGCAAGTACCAAGTACTTTGGCAAATACCGAGTACTTATGCAAATACCAAGCAAGTACCAAGTATTTTGGCAAGTACCGAGTACTTTCGCAAGTACCAAGCAAGTACCAAGTACTTTTGCAAGTTCAGCAAGTTTTTCGCCAATATCGAAGCTTCTAGACGTCCGATCGTCACCGGAAAAACACCATTCGATTCCAAATTTTCTCCCGAAACTTTTTATGGCCAAAGCGACGCGGAGCGAGCCAAGATATCTTGTTTAAATATCCATTTGAGTAGGATTGCGGGTTTTTTGAAGCGCTGAGTTTTTGCAGCGAGCTTTTTCTCTTAGGGCTTGCGAGATACCCGCGGAAACACATATCTCTTCAGCATTGCGCGCCACACAGGAATGCGGCTGATTCACGTGCTTTTGTGAGCGAGGTGCTTCCCTCCGGGAGAAATTCGCCGTCCCCATATGCTTAACACAGAGCCGAGCGGCGGCTGACAGGTGGCCGGCTCTCGGGAGATCGGCAGCCGACACTCGAAAAATCGACAAGCCGCCGCTGAATGCGCGTGCGGCAGTGCTGAGCCGAGTCGTTCCCACGGTCTGGCGGCCAGCTGGGTGGGGGCGGGGTGGGGAGTGGGGCGGCCGATTGCCAGCCGCTTCTCCACGGGCAGGTGCTGCCACCTGCGCAGTAGTTCCACTGGCGGCCGCCAGGCCCGTGCGGCAAGCGGGCCGTGCGCGGTAGTTCCGCCAGCGGCCGCCAGATGGATACCGCCGCGCGCGTCGTGTCTAACCTGACGAAGCTACAAAAAGTTAGATAACTTTAATAAGAGGGACGGTAAAGCCACAATTCCAACGCTGAATGCTGGGCAAAAGCAAAGGGATCCAACACAGC